CCAAATGGTAGTAAAGCTTTTTTTTGAAGATTGATGAAAAAATTATAAAGACGATGCTTTAAAAGAATATTTGTATTTTTTTTTCAAGAATATCTTGATAATATTGATATTGGCTTAGAATACCACTTGAGATCATTTTTCTATCAATAATAGATGTGGCATACATAACAAAAGTTGATCATTCTTTTAGAACATGCATGAAAGATTTTGCATCTACTGATAATGGTTTGGATGTATTAGTCTTTTGGATTCTACTTCTCTAGTAAAATCTTGGATTAAACTGCAAAAAAATCAAAGTTATGAAAAATCCAATCTATTTGAAGATTATATTTTTCTAACTAAAATAATTCTAAAATAATTGTATTAGAAGAAAATTTAATCATATTAAGTATTAATAGAATATTATAACTACTAGTTATTATATCTAAAAAAATAATTTTATGTGTAATATTTTCAAAAGATAATGAATGACTATCTATTATTTTTACATATACAAGTTTGATTTTCTTGACTAAGGATATTTCTTATTTTTTGGCAAAGTCTTCATCTATAAAATAGGCTAAGGCTCTTAAAGCTAATAAGGCTTAGACTTTGTTATTTTTTGTTCCCAAAAATACTTCTATTTTGAAATAAAGTGAGGGATTTGAGGAGAAAATATGACCTTTACTAGGTATTAAGGAAGATTTTAGTTTTATAGTCTCTATTATAGTTGAAAAATTTATTTTTCAATACATCATCCTCTTTGGCAACCATGCTCTTCATTTTGTGATTTTTTTGATTTTTTGGATAATATTAAGTAGTGTCCTTGAATTCTCTACAACGTGAGCATAATCTTCTTTGATGACAATATCTTTTCTTGCTCAAAAAGAAATTTAAAATATATTATGTCAATTTTCATAGGCTCTGGCTTGAATAAATAAGCTTTCAAAAACTCAAAAGATATTACCATGGCTTAGTTTTATTTTTTCAATCAAATCTTTGTTCTTGGCATCTTTCATAAAATCAATTATTATATGCAATGGCTTAAATAATAAATTACTTTAATGAATCTATTTTCAACATTATCAATAATAAATCTTTGATATTATCTTTCAATCCATATTAAAATTGATAGATAAAGACTTTGTCATTTTAATCCATATTATAAGCAAGATTTTAGAATTCAATAGCATATGTAGTAATTGAATGTGATCCTTCTTGTAGAAATACAAGCTTGGTCTTTGCTACTCTTTTGCAATCACTTTCATCAAATGTAGCCATAAACACTTTGAAGAATGAATTCAAATCATAGAATAGTCGTGAATTTCTTTTCTATCAAAAGTACAAACTAAGAAAAAAAATACTTTTAGATAGAAATATGCATATGAATTTAACTTGAGTATATCCAGTAGAATATTAAAAAAGATGCAAATTTAAATAGAGCTTAGCTTGTTGAAAAAATCTCCAAAATTTTGATGTTGTACCATCAAAACTTCTTAGGCATATTAATCCTTGCCTCCCTTGTGCTTGTGGAATTAAGACTTTTTGAATTTGGTTGTGAAGTTGATCTACTTGATTCTTTCAACTACACAAATATTTGGCATAGACTATAAACATCTATAGGTATAAGAGTAGTACTTTCGGAATTGGTATTAGTGATGTGTGAAGTTTCTACTCTATGAGTGTTGATAAGCTCATGAAAATCTCTAGTAGTTGCAAATCTATTTTTATTTTTTTGAAGAATAGTATTGATAATTTTTTCAATAGATAATTCATATAAATTTAAAAATTAAATTAGAAGAAGGTAATTTGTAATCTCTAATGTAAAATAAAAATTTCTACAAAGAGAAGTGATCCACTCATTTTAACAAGAAATCAATGTTAAAAAACTAAATTGTTTGTTTAAAGATGGATAGTCTGTAACCTTCAAAATAAAACAATAAAAGTGAGGTAATCCACTCACTTTTTAAAAAAAAAAAACAAGAAAAATAAGTTAACATTCTTCTCAAACTATGAAGGGCATAAATCTCAAAGAAAGAAAAGTCAATACATTTTTATGTCACTCAAAAAAATTAGAAAGTCATTCAAAGATGATAGCTTTTTGAATTAAAATGGCTATTTCCAAAAACAAAAAGTTTAGAAAGTCTTGAAATAAGATTAAAGACTAAAAAGGTATTAACAAGAGTGAAGAAGGTTTCTTTCTTGCCTCCATATTTACTTTCTAACTAAGAGCTATGCAACAATATTCTATAAGACCTCTAACACTTGTTGACTTTGCAAGATACATCTTAACTTGTAGGATAAGTTTTTTTATATATCTGCTATATAGTTAGCTTGTTCTACAAGCTACCAACATATATGATACATGATTAATTTATTGACCAATTTTCTAATCTATTAATCAACTACAAATATGTATAAAGTCAAAACCACATCTATAAAGCTTCTAAAAAGCTTTTTTAGAAGATATTATAAAATTAAATTATATTTACTTACTTCTATATAATCATATAGGTAATTATTAGAGTAAATATGTATGTCTATGACACCAACACTATAATGGATGGAGATGATTTAATCAACATCCATAAATTTTCTTATATTAAAAATATCAAAATTCTATAATAGTATAGCATGTACTTAAATTCTCCCTCAAACTACATAGAATCATTGATGCCTTTCACAAGTGGATCTATAATTCTAGACTATAGATGCATGAGTACAAAGACAATAATTAAAAAAAAAAAAATGAAAAACTTTCTTTGTTGTCTTTAAATGACTATGCCTATTTAAGAAGCAAACAAATCTATAATATTTTCTTAAAAGACTAGCCTTAATATCATGTTAATATTCAATTTGTGTTCTCTTTGGTATTATACTAAATATATTTTAACAAGTAAAAGATACATTACTCTAAATTTTCTTTAAAATAACAACTTATTATTAAGAATACAACTTATAATTATTATTTTTTATTTAATAAGAATTTTTTAAATTTTCTATTTAAATTTTTATTAATATTACTTATTTATTTTATTATATTTTTAAAATAAATTTAAAAATTACCAACCAATTTTTAATAGCACCTTAATATTTGTACTATATATATTGATTTTTTAAAAAATAAAATATAAAATATTATATTTTTATTAATTTTATCTAATATAAAAAAATTCAAAATATTTAATTTTTTTAATTTAATCATTTTTTATACTTAGTTTTTTATAGATTTATCATTACAAAAAATATTCTAATAATATGTTTTTTTAATTTAAGATTTAGAGAGGTTCATAAGTCATAATAGAATTAGAATTATTTTAATCATAAAATTAAAAATCAGAACTTGATTGATTTATTTATTTCTTCCTTTCTTTATTGCATTCCCAAGCCAAAAAAAAAAAAAAAAAAAAAAAAACACATAGTCTTAGTTTGAAAAGATTGATTCATGAATGTTGACATGATTGAAAATAAAATAATCATCAGCCTCATTTTATTCTTATACTTACTTATTGCAATATCTGTAAATTAATTGATTATTAGAGTATAGTGTTGTTATAGTGGTTTTTTTTTTAATTAATTATAATTTAAATCATAAAATATAAAAAATAAGAGAAGAAATTACACAATAAACAATAATTTAAGGTATTTTCTAATATGCCATAAGTGTTTCTTGAAGTTTTTTGAAGTTTTTCTTATAATTTTATTATTTAACTTAATTTTTTGAGTTTCAAAGTAGTAATTTTTTTAAAACATTATTTGAAGATAATTTTTTAAAAATTAATGTATTAAATAAAAGTATATTTTTCAATATCTATTTTTTATTTTATTTTTTAATATTTTTTAATTCATGTATTTACTAATATTATGTAATTTATTATTTTTTTAATTAAATTATTTTTAAATGAAATATAAAAAACTTAAAATAATGTATAGATAGAATGTTTCTTTTTAATCATATTGCAATTTCTGTAGTTTTATGGACTCAGACATCATTTGATTATCTGATATTTTTTAGAATCATATATTAGTGATAAATAAATATAAAATTGAAGAATTATTTTTATTATTATTATCATTATCATTAACACAACATTGAAACAACATGTTCTTGTAAAATTAATTTAAGTTACATTATATTTTAACACTAAAACTGTATTTGAAATTTAGATGAATATCTTATAAAATTATATAAACCAAAAATTTATAAAAATAATGGTAAAATAACTAAATTTTAATTTATATATAGAATGTCTCTTTTTAATCACCTGGTCTAAAACATATTTTACATGTATGGAAGGCCCAAAGAATGTACATTAAAAAATGATAAAAGTACTCACTAGTATTCTTGCTGGATTTTTTATTATTTTATTATTTATTATTATTATTTTTCAAATAATAAAAGAGAAACAGCCATTAGAATCCAAACAAATTCTTGGTATTCATCCATAAAATAATATTCTAAGCGGATATTTTCAATTTAGTTCCAAACCACTCGAAAAAATATTAATTCTCAACAAAACAAACTGCAGAAGTATATTCAATAATAGCTTCACACCTTTCAATTGATGCCATGCATTACACTCATCAGCATTTTCATATTAAAGTGGAAAGAATACTAAATTTCATTGTTATTATTTGCCTTGACGGTCACGAAATGGTCCATTCAAAAACCACTCAATCTACCAATGATCACGTGGACTAATTTTTGCTAATGCAAAGTGGGAGTGTAGTATTCTGATGTCATTTGGATAATTCCCCTCTAAAAAGCCGCTAATTTTGGGGACCGCTAAATTAGAAATCTGCTACATTTAAAAGCCGTTTGAAAAGAGCCCACTCGGCGAATTCCCGAGCACAGCGGTCAGGAAGTGGATTCCATGCTGACGTCCCGCCTGTTGATTGTTGCTCCAGTAGCGTCAGTTTAATTTTAGGCGTGGGGATCGTTGACACGAGCGCAGATAGATGAGCAGCATGATGCAATAAAACTGCACAGACCCAACACAGATTGCGAGCGGGAGGTTTAAGATGCGCGTCGCGAACGGCGGCAGCTCATGCGGTAAGCAATTCGTCGGTGGAGTCCCCGCAGCCATCGTCGTGATGGCCTCAGATGCTCAAAGAAAGTGCAGGAACATTCTCGATACCAGAAATTATCGGGATTCGTCGCCAAGTTGTAGACTCATGCAGCCAGCGGTGCGACGGGTCGTTTTCCTGGCATTGCCCAGTTCGCATTTCCCACTCACTCATCTTCTAGTTCTCGTTGTCCAGCTCGAAGCTGACGCCATAGGAGGTTGTATACTGTTCGTTGCGTGCTACATCCTTCCCGGTTCCCACCGACTTGAGTGGATGCCAGTGCTCGTTTTCCTATGAAGTGCTCGGCGACAAGGGTTGTCATTCTGGTTGTCGTCTTGCGAATGACTGAGTTCAGGTAGTGTATCTTGTCATTCCTGAGTTTCCTATTTTCGGGGGCTGATTCTATCCTGTCGTGCCTACCTGTTGGCGAGGAGTGGGGTGGGGCAATCTCCGAGGAGCTTGGTTTGTTTGAAGGAAAAGTTATGTACCGAAAGAGTGACTGGCTTAGGTAAGGGAAGCTTTTGTGGTCTGCGTGGAGGAACAGAGTGGTCGTTGTGAACGACGTTCTTTCGAAGTGACTTAATGAAAACCCTTCTTAGTGGGTTTGAGTCCATCAATGCGGAAACGAGAGCAAGATGCACTCGATTAGTGGTTTAAGCCTTGTTGTTTCCTAGCGACACGCCTGTGAATGAATCCACTTGAGGTTCATCTTCATCGACTTCGACAGGGTCATCTATTCAAATGAGGAAGAGCGCTGCTGACAGCAGTAAGGTGAAGAGCAGCGTAAGCGGAAAGCCGACGCCCGTGTCTTCCGACAAAAGAATTCGCAAACCAAGAAAAATTTCCTCTGTCCTGCGTGATTTCTTTCACATTCCGCTGTTCTCTTGCCGCGGCTCCGACTCGGGCTACGATAATCGTCCACAGCTGGGAACCTCCGTCATAGGTGAGTTTTAATCAATCTTTTCTTTCCTCAGACCCCACGGCTTTCCCACCGGTGTAGCTCTTGGGGGTATCACAATCTGCCGTTGGCTCTGAACGTCTCGGTCATAATTTCCGCAGGAACCTTGTATGGTCAGAGGAAAGGCAATGTGTTATTGGCGATCCAAGATGACCCAAAGTGCTTGCCGCTCTTCATTCTGGAACTAGCGACGCAAACCGGTTCCCTGGTGAGAGAAATGGCATCAGGGTTGGTCCGAATCGCCCTGGAGTGCGAGAAAACTCCCGGTGAAGGCAAGCTGCTACTTCAGGAGTCGACATGGTCCATGTACTGCAACGGCCGGAAAACGGGCTACGCAACCCGACGAGAGTGCACAGAGATCGATCGCCACATCCTCACTCTCGTCCAGGCCGTCTCTATGGGGGCAGGCGTATTGCCCATGGCCAAAGAGAGCGAGCTCATGTACATGCGAGCGCGGTTTGGGCGTGTCACAACCTCCGCCGACTCCGAATCCTTCTACATCATGAACCCTGACGGAAGCGAGGGGCCGGAGCTCAGCATTTTCTTAACTCGCACATAGTCAATCACGTCTCACCGATCAATCGAACTGTATTACAGTCACAGGCATTCGTGCCCTTTTCTAGTCCCAGGTTGACCACGGCCACACCAAGTCCAATTCTCTGCTGCCGCTGCTGCTTCAAACACCGGCAATGGCTTCACGTTTTGGTTACGAAGTCTCATCGGCCAGCACTGCATCGACGCTTCAAATAGTGCGACAATGGCCCGAACCCATCACGCTTCTTACGAAATCGTATTAGGATTTCGAAGCGGGTTTCCAGCACTGCTTCCCTCTTACTTGTCCAACCTGTGTACATTAAAATTAGGGTTTCGAATAGACCACAATCCCATTGCAATTTCTGTCTCCGATGCAACCATTGTGTGTCGTTTTGGTTTGTGAGGATGGAGGGTTGTCTTCGTGTTTCGGTTACGCAGAAAATTTGTGCCGGCATAAGATACAAACATGTTTGAGCTCGAAGACCATTTCTCGAACTTCAACGACAAGCGCTTTCAGAAAGAACCCATGCAAAAAATGTAGTATTCTGAAGGGGGTATGTAGATGAATGTATGTATGAAAACAAACAAATAATTAATTAATAAAAAAAGAAACAAAAAAACAAACAGAGCCTGAATTCTTTACCATGACAAATGTATTGGTCTTTGTAATCTGGTGTAGGGTTTTTGCTAGATTGTGTAAATTCTTTGTGGAATGGCATATGTTTATATTTTGTATTTTTTAAGAGCATATAGGATGGATTTCTAATTCTATGAATACATATTAAAAAGAAAAGAAAAGATGATATAACATAGAAAATTTTATTTTCTTATCTAATATTTTTATAAAATTTTGAACAATTGCAATGGATTCATAATTTCTAATTGTAAGCATATATTTAATATAAACAAAATAAACATGGATGTTCATGTATGTACAAAATAAAAAATAAAAAATAAAAAAATGATCTATCAATAAATTTTTAAATTACATATGTAAGGTTACTTTTGTGAGCCATAAAAAAATTTATCTAGCAAGAGTGTCAACTAATAGATCTTGCCTATCCAAGTTTTCGACATTGCTTAGGCTATGGCTCATTGCTAATATAATTATGATTGTGCCACATTGTAACAACTTAATAAGAAGGTATTTAAAAGCCAACAACCTCTATTAAGATTAAAAAAAAGTTTAAACTTGAAGAGAGGTTTTTTAATTTTAAATTTAGTAAAAATAGCACTATATGCAATGCCAACCTATATGGAATGCATCAAAGAGAACGTATTGATCACAAGGATTAATAATACAAGTAATTATATTGCCATACAAACCATTAGCTTGTCATACACATACATATTTATTCCAATAGTTATCTATATTGTAACAAGGTATAGATAAGATAATTACACAGATAATTAAAACCATGGAAGTTTCTAGAATCAGAGTTAGATTAGTGGACCAGGTAGGATCCACCATAGAACATTCTAGAAAGAATTTAGGGTGGTTATTAAGATGGGGCCCACCATAAAACCTTCTCAAAGAAAGTTTAGGGCGGTTATTTAATTAGGGCCTATTATAGAAACTTCTAGAAAAGGAGTTTAAGGCAATTATTTAGGTAGGGCCCACCACTTAGGAATATTCTAAAAAATCTAAGGTGGTAGGACAAGATATAAATAGGATTGGCTAGAGCCTTTTGGAGCATTTGGTCAAGTATGGTTTAAGATCCTTTCTCTTAATAAAGTTTTATTTTGCATCTTTTTGTTCAGATCTATTCTGTTCTATTTTTGTTTGTTTAATTTTGTCTTTCATGTCCTATTCTGTTTAGTTCCGTTGATATGAGATGTGTTGCATATGAGATGTGTTGCATTCCTTCTGTGGTATTTTGTCTTTCATGTCCTATTCTGTTTAGTTCTATTCTCATATCAAATAGTTACTTTGCAAGGATAAATAGAAGCCTTGAGGACAAGAAAATTGACATGTGTTAGGTTGCAATTGAATAATCCTAGTAAATACTATGGAACTTTAAAACAAGAACATGTATGTCAATGGTTCTTAAATATTCGACAATACCTCCAACTATCTAGGACAAATACCACTGAAGGAATTATATATGTAGCCAACTATTTGAAAGATGCGGCAGCCATTTGGTGTTGACATTGAGTTCAAAATTATAGAGCTCAAGGTAGATTTTGTGACTAGAAGGAGTTTGAGACCGAGTTTAGGAATCAATTTTGGCTCATCAATACAGAGAAGATAGCATGCAATCACTTTGCAAATCTTACATAAGCTAGGTCAGTGCAAGATTATGTCTCCCAATTCAAGTCCTTATGTCTCCAAATTGGCAATATTTTGGAGGCGGAGATGATGGATTGGATCCTAAGATGTTTGAAACCTTGAGTCCAATGAAAGGTGGAACTAAGGGATCCAAAAACATTCAAAGAGGCAATTTGGATTGCAGAGAGGATCAATGTTATAGATTTTAGAAATCGTAGAGCACAACCTATAGTACAAAGTCCTATGCCACTATCTGATATTACTGCACAATAACCAATGCCAATGGAAATTGATGCCTTACAAGGATCAATAACACTACAAAGATGACAAATATTGGTGCAAAAAAGATTGTATTTCTATTGTTGAGAGACAGGCCATGAGATTGGAAGTTGACTAGCACGTCAAAGTACAAGTACGAGCAAGACAAGGAGAGTTCATAGTCTTGGAATTCACCAAGTTGATAATGAGTTTGAGCAAGAAAACAAGGCTCCCTAATAAAGGTGCCGAGGAGTAGTACTCGAGGTAGCTATTGGCTTTCAGAGACAAATGGCATAGCCTCAAATAACTATAAATAGAATCGATTGGTGCTTCTAATGGAACTACTAAGAGAACAACCATGTTGAGTGCTTGTAGATTGTGGCTTTATAGAAAATTGCATCTCAATTGAAATTATTGACTAGCTTAGAATTAAAACCAAAGAAATCAAAGGAGGAAGTATACCTTGCAGATAATTGAGAGAATATATTAAGTGAGATGTGTGAAGAAAAAACCTTAAGATTTCTAAATACTTACGTCTTAAGAAGGAGATTCAAGATAACAAAGCTAAGGTATGATTTTATCCTTGGAATGCCATGGCTGGAGATGAAAAATAAGCAAGTTGATTGAGTAGCAAGGAAAATCTCTTTTAAAGATAGAAGATGTAAGGTGACTCTTCGCACTTCCACATCAAGTGAAGAAGAAAGAGAATCTGCAACCAAAGACTTACTTGTAGGAATAACGTTTATGAAAAAGCAACTACAACATGAGCAATTAGTACATATGGTAGTTCCAAAGCTTGCATCAATGATCAAAAAGATAGCCAAAGAGGTAAAACAACTCATATAAGAATATTAGGATGTCTTTCCAATTGACCTACCTAGTGGCGTACTTCTTGATTGAGGTCCCTTCTTTCAAATAGTACTATTGTCTATAACCAAACTAGTAAGTTAACGAATTTATTGCCTAGTACCAAAAGAACTTGAAGAGCTATAGAAGATATTGGATGAATTCTTAGAAAAAGACCTCATTTGAGAAAGCACATTACCATGGAGAGTACTTGTATTCTTTGTACCCAAGAAAGATGGTGGACTTTGCCTTAACATTGACTATTGAAGTTTCAACAAACAGACTATTAAAAATACATATCGACTTCTATGTGTGGATAATCTTCTTGACTAACTTCAAGGTGCGACTATCTTTAGTAAATTGGATCTTTAGATCGGCTATTAGCAAACACCTATTGCAAGAGAGGATGTAAAAAGACGACATTTTGTACATGCTATGGACATTTCAAATGGATGGTTTTATCTTTTGGCCTTGGCAATGATCCAGTCTCTTTCATGGGTCACATAAACAAATTATTTTGAAACCTTTTGGAGAAGTATGTAGTCATTTTCATTGATGCTATTTTTTAATATAATAAAATCCCTGAAGAGCATGAATAATATCTATGAGAGATGTTGTGTTGACTATAAGATAGTCATTTTTATTGCAAGCAATCAAAATGTGAACTTTGGAAGTCGAAAGTCACCTTTTTGGGACATGTGGTGTCATTCGAAGGCATGCATATAGATCAAGATAAAGTGAAAGTAGTAGAGGATTGGCCAACTTTCAAAGATGCTTCTGAAGTTTGCTCATTTTTAGGCCTTGTTAGATATTATTGCTATTTTGTTAGGAGATTTGTTTACATTGCTACCTCATTGACAAAACTATTGGAGAAAGATGCCTCATTTGAATGGAAACTGGAGCAGCAAAATACTTTTGAAAATTTGAAGGAAGCACTCATTATTGCTCCAATATTACAACCATATGATCCTAATCTTCCTTGTACGCTTGACATTGATGCTTTTGACTTTGCAATTGGAGTAGTTCTTCAACAAGACTTTGGTAGGGGCCTTTAACTTATAGCATATGAATCACGCTGTCATATTACATGAAGTCTTGCTTGAGAATGCATCAAGCACCTAGCTTAAAAAAATAAAAAGAAATTCTAACAATAAGATCTTAACAACTCTAATAGAATTTCAAATAAATTCTAATTAAATCTTAAAAATATTAATCAAGCTTTAATCAAATCCAAAAGAAATCTTTAAAAAATTGAAAAAGAAACATGAAGAAATTATAAATTAACCTTAAAGAAATGCATATATAAAAAAGTAATTCTAAAAGTATAACAAAGATATCTTTAAATACTAAAAATAAAAATTTAATAACTTTATCAAATCTTAGACCAAATCTTAAATCCTAACCAAATTCTAACCCTAATTTTAATCAAATCCTAACCTAAACCAAATCCTAATCAATTATTTAAATCTCAAATAAATTTCTAACAACTTTATAATAAATTTTTAAATTCAATAACTAATATTTGAATCGTTGATTTGAACTCAAATTTTACACAATCTTCATTAATTAAGTTAAAAATAAGTATAAAAAAAAATTGAAAAAAGATCAGAATTACCAAATAAATGATAATCTCAAAAATATGCTAGGGTGTTGGCCGGCTTCCTTCTTTGACCTTGATGCTAATCTCTTAGAGCCAATTACTCTTGATTGAACTATTATTTTGCACCCAAACTTTATACACTTGTTAGAAATCAAGTTAACTATCTCTATAAAAAAAAAGTTTGCTTCAATCTAATTAGTGGATTGACAAATATCTAAAAATGTCTCACTAGTTTTTAAAACCCTAAATTTTGAGACCATAATCCACAAAAATCTTCATGCTTTTCAATCTAACCATTTGATCAAATCCAAATTCACAACTCACATCAAGAACAACTACACTCACAAATCTAAAAAAATTTCATCTATAGATCTGTTACCAAACTCCTAA